GTGTGTGTGTGTTGTGTGTGTTGTGTGTGTTGTGTGTGTTGTGTTTGTTGTGTGTGTTGTGTGTGGGTTGTGTGTGTTGTGTGTGTTGTGTGTGTTGTGTGTGTTGTGTGTGTTGTGTGGGTTGTGTGTGTTGTGTGTGTTGTGTGTGTTGTGTGTGTTGTGTGTGTTGTGTGTGTTGTGTGTGTTGTGTGTGTTGTGTGTGTTGTGGGTGTTGTGTGTGTTGTGTGTGTTGTGTGTGTTGTGGGTGTTGTGTGTGTTGTGTGTGTTGTGTGTGTTGTGTGTGTTGTGTGTGTTGTGTGTGTTGTGTGTGTTGTGTGTGTTGTGTGTGTTGTGTGTGTTGTGTGTGTTGTGTGTGTTGTGTGTGTTGTGTGTGTTGTGTGTGTGTGTGGGTTGATGTGTGTTGGGTGTGGTGTGGGTGTGTTGTGTGTGTGTGGTTTGTGCCGTGTTGTGTGTGTTGTGTGTGTTGTGTGTGTGTGTTGTGTTGTGGTGTTGTGTGTGGTGTGTGTTGTGTGTGGTGTGTGTTGTGTGGGTTGCTTGTTGTTGTGTGTGTGTGTGTGTGTGGTGTGTGTGTGTGTGTGTGTGTGCGTGTTGTGTGTGTTGTGTGTGTTGTGTGTGTTGTGTGTGTGTGGGTTGTGTGTGGTGTGTGTGTTGTGTCTGTGTGTGTTGTGTGTGATGTGTGATGTGTGATGTGTGATGTGTGTGATGTGTGATGTGTGATGTGTGATGTGTGATGTGTGATGTGTGATGTGTGATGTGTGATGTGTGATGTGTGTTGTGTGTGTTGTGTGTGTTGTGTGTGTTGTGTGTGTTGTGTGTGTTGTGTGTGTTGTGTGTGTTGTGTGTGTTGTGTGTGTTGTGTGTGTTGTGTGTGCTGTGGGTGTTGTGTGTGTTGTGGGTGTTGTGGGTGTTGTGTGTGTTGTGTGTGTGGTGTGTGTGTGTTGTGTGTGTTGTGTGTGTGTGTGTTGTGTGTGTTGTGTGTGTTGTGTGTGTTGTGTGTGTTGTGTGTGTTGTGTGTGTTGTGTGTGTTGTGTGTGTTGTGTGTGTTGTGTGTGTTGTGTGTGTTGTGTGTGTTGTGTGTGTTGTGTGTGTTGTGTGTGTGTTGTGTGCGGTGTGTGCGGTGTGTGGGTTGTGTGCGGTGTGTGCGGTGTGTGCGGTGTGTGCGGTGTGTGCGTTGTGTGCGTTGTGTGGGTTGTGTGGGTTTTGTGGGTTGTGTGCGATGTGTGCGGTGTGTGCGGTGTGTGCGGTGTGTGTGCGGGTGTGTGGCTGTGTGTGCGCGGGTGTATGGCTGTGTGGCTGTGTGTGTGTAGGTGTGTGTGTGTGTGTGTGTGTGGGTGCGTGCGTGCGTGCGTGCGTGCGTGCGTGTGTGTGTGTGTGTGTGTGTGTGTGTGTTGGTTGTGTGTGTGTGTGTTGGTTGTGTGTTGTGTGTTGTGTGTTGTGTGTTGTGTGTGTGTGTGTTGTGTGTGTGTGTGTTGTGTGTGCGTTGTGTGCTGTGTCTGTGACAGCCTGTCTACCAAGAGTTCAGGCAAAGCAGGGGGGCATGGCCCTCACTCACAGACCATGCCCAACGAAGCTAAGTGAGTGAGGGGGCTATCGGTTCCCGGCCAGCACTGACGTACCTGCAAATCTGTTTCGCAAGTTTCCACGTCGGCCTGATTCGCTCGGGTTTGACTTGATCCAGACCAGGAACTTGCGAACTGAGAAAGGGATAACAGAGGGAGGATTCCATGAGTGTGTGTGTGTGTGTTGTGTGTGTGTTGTGTCTGTGTGTCTGTGTGTCCGTGTCTGTGTCTGCGTTTCAAATGTTTGCAACATCGAGGCGAAGCGCACTGCGGGCCTGCCTTGCACTTCCTGAAATGGCCCTTCTCTTCATCAAAGAACCCAGGGCAGGAGTAGTTGCCTGCGGCTCTGCGGCTCTTCATACTGCAGATGCATGAAGGCGTGAACCCGGTCTGGGCAAAGTCACTCGCAAAGCGTCCTGTGACTTTCGACCATCTGAGCTTCACTTTGTCACAGGTCGGGCACACAGGCCTCGGCGAAACTGCTCGGGTGTTGCAGCGATGGTTTTTCGGCTTTGGCATGCTGCCGCTTGGGGGATTTTGGGGAATCAAAAATCGGGCGGTTGCGGTTGTCAAACTGTCAAACCCACGGTCCTGCATGGCAAGCCCGCTGCTGAAAATGTTGACACGACGCCCCGAAGTCCTTCAGGACCTATGCCAGGGTGGTAGGGTGTATCGAATCCAGGACCTCAGCAACCTTAAAACTCTAAACCCTAAACCGCTAAACCTCTGGGCCCTCCTAAACTTTCCTTTTTGAGGCCCGCGGCGGGACGCCCAGCACCTTCGCCTCGGCAACCCGATCGAGGAGCTCTTCCTTTCGGCCGGACCTGCAGGACGTGCAGGGTTCTGGGATCAATTCATTGAATTAGGGCCTTGGGGTGAAGGGCTTTGGTTTACAAGTCGAGGGCTAGCAGTTTCCATCAGCCTGCTTTTATAAAAGACCCTGCCAGAGCTGAGCGCTTAAGAGTTCCGAGCCCTCCGAAACTGAAAAGCCCCCATAAAAGAAGAATCTAATTTCAAAAACACATAAAAATAGAAAACAAAGTTCCCGGCTCCTAACTCAGAGCAACCCCGTAAGGGCATCCCCGAGACCCCGAAAGCTTCCTGTAAAACACGTGAGGCCCTCAACCCCGTACACGCCACGAAGGTGCTTCGGACTCCCTAAAAGGCTGGGCTCCCACGCTTTGGAAGCCCGTTCTTTTGCAAGAGGCATCCTCGGCTTTGGATCTCTTTAAGGTTTGGGGGTTGTGTCACAGGGGTTCGGTTATGGGGATCAGCGCTCCTCAAGGCTGGGTTCAGCCCCCCTCAGCCCTCAGCTGTGCTCAGTCGAGGGAGTTGGAAGATGGGCGCTTTGGGTCTTCGGGCTGCTCAGTCGAGTGGCCGAGGGCAGCAGCGCTCTTTCTGGAGAGCTCCGCCTCAAGGGTTTGGGCCTTTGGGGCCTCAGGGCATGAGGGTCCGCAATCTTGAACATGAAACTGCGCAGCCCCAAACCGCAAGCCTCGAATCCTAGAAGCCTCGGACCCCACATACAAAAACGCACGAGCACGTCTTAAGCATCTTCTGGGGAGCGTTCAAGGTTGCGGCTGTAGGGGGAGCAAGAGCCAAATTGTGTTTTGAAGTGCAAGGCGCTTTAGGCTTTGCAGAAGCATGCGGGGCCAGCCAAGAACCCAACATCCTGAAATCCTTTTCCCGACAGCAAGAGCACCCGGACAGCGTTCCAATGATAACCCTCTAAGACCCTAACGCCAACCTAAGACTCTCCAGAAGCCTTCGCAGTCTCGATGGAGTTGTGCTGCTCGGAAGTCAAAGCACTAGGGCCACTAGCAGGTGCAGCCTCCTGTGCCGGTTACCCGAAGCGACTGTTGCTCAATGCCAGACAAACTCGTGACTAGCTCTAAAGCAGAGTGATGCAAAAAGGAGCTGCTGGGCCTCCTCGGCAAGCTTCGCCTTCTTGGATGGCCTTGGCTATGTTCGGGACGTCAAAGTTGCTGTGAGTCTTCTTGCTCAAACACACAAGTGAGGGCTGGGAGTCGTGCTTGCCCGATGCCCCACCCGACTTGCGCTTGCCCTGCGGAACCGCGGCCTCCTCCTGAACGGGCGGGCTTTGGCAACGCTCGGGCAACGCTTGGTCATGCTTGGGCACGCTCACAAGCTCACCTGCGCAGCCTCGCCCTTGCAAAGCGTGAAGACAGCCGACACCTTATGTGCCGGCAAGACTAGGCGGCAGCATGAATGTAACTGGTATATGTAACGATACCCCGATCGAGGGATCCTCCATCCTATTCCTACCAAATCCGGCCGTTCCCTACGTTCTACCATGTTCTACCCTTTCCCTCTCGGGCCGGGCCGCTCTCTTCTGGTCGGCCTCCTCCAGCGCGTCGAAGCCGGCGATGGATTCCACGTCTTCAGGCAGGTGCTGTCGGAACCAGGCAGATTTCCTGATCTTCGGGAAGCAGCCTTTTCAGGGATGAATAGTGGAAGTCAAGCTGTGCGCGACCAAAAGAAAGCAAAAAAAGCAGCGCAACGGTTGTGCACACACAAGCTGAGCCTTCATGATGCCACTTCGCAGACTCCGCTGCGTGGCCCTTTGCCCTTTCTGCAGCACTCGCACTCTCCATGTCCACAACCGTCTTCATGCCAATTCGCACTGCGTCCTTCTCCTTGCAAGTAACACACGCGCGCTTCACTTCAACAAGCTGAAAGAAAACAGGTGACAGGTCTAAGTCCACGGCGATCTTTTCCTTGCAATGCTTGCACGCGGATCGCGCGCTTTTGGCGTATTCCAGCTCGAACTGAAAGGATGGCATGGCGTGGGTGTAGTCCGGATTCCTGTCAGGACCTACAACGTGCCTCAAAGCTCACCGGATGAAGGAACGGCTGCGGAGACTTCAAGATGCACAAGCTGTCCCTCCAGGAATTGCATTATCATTGGCATAGCAGCATAGCTCTGCACCTCCAACAACTGCCAACCTCCCATGCGCAACGTCTCGAAATGAGGCGCCCAGTTTGGTCTGAAAGAGGATGTCAGAAACTTCAAGACCGCACGAAGCCCTGAAACGCTGAACACCACTTTTTGCACATCTGGCGCTGACACGCACTCCGTGGCTCTGTGATACGGCATGGGGCAAGTACAAAAATATGTTGGACGATCTCACCTCTTGGTGAAGCTGTTCAGCCTTACAGGTGGGCTGCCCTTGAGCCGCGGAAAGAAAAATTTGAGGGGGAGAAAATTTTTCAGGAAGATTTCAGCCGCAACCCGCTCCATGAAGCTGCGAGGCAGAGATTTACTGGCACCATTTCGAAGGGTAAAAGCCTGCCCCCATCTTTCAGGCAAAGCTTCTCACAAAGCATTCTGCCTCGGATTTGGGATACGGGATTTAGACGGTTGAGAGTTTAGGAGCCACGTGCAAATAGCGCGACTTGCCAGCAAGCTCCATCTAAATCCTGCATACCCCGCCCCACTCCAAAAAAGCTAAGTCATCTTCAGACCCTAAACCCTAAACCCCTCAAACCCTCAACCCCTGCCCCTAATATCCCTAAACTCTCCCACTGGGCACCTGGCCCATGAATCCCGGGCGTACGGGAAAGCAGTGCTCTGCCTTGGAGGACATGCAGTTGAGGGTTTGAGGGGTTTGGCATTGTTTTGTTTTGGGGCGTATAGCTTAAGTTTAAAAGTTGGGGTTTTGGTGTGAGGGGAACTGAGCTTGGGTATGCGACGTAGGGTATCGTAGGGTGCAAAGCGTATTCGGCCCTAGACTCAATTACTGGCCATGAGGACCTTGTGCGCATGTGAAGAGTCTTTGCTGTCAGGTGCAAGACTACCGCCGAAGTTCCTTCGACTGCGCAGAGACTGCCACGCGACCAAGAAGGCAGTCAAGGCCTCACTGTTCGAGTTTCGGTCATAAGCAGGGTGTCCAAACCCTTGAAGTTCAGGCCAAACGAGTTCCTGTCCCTAAACGGCGGAAATCGGGGCAACCAAGGTGTTTAGGTTTCTGGGTTTGGCGTTGGTGGCATCTAGTCCAGCAAACCACACGTCAGCTTCTCAAACCCTGTGAGCCTTCAAGTTTAGGCAAAGTGGAGCCCTAAGCCTGAAACCCACAATCTGAGCTGTGGGATCGGAAACCCTACACTGTCAACTCCAAGCCCAAAAGCCTTAAACCACCTTAAATTCAAAAGCCCTAAGCCTTCAACCCTGAAGCTAAAAATTCTCTGAACCTTACGCCCCAAAACCCTACAGGCCCTAGAGCCTTGCAAGCCCTGAATAAAAGCCCCGGGAACCAAAGCGTGCAGCCCACCACAGCCCTTACGCCAGGCCATAAGTGAGCACCCTCCCACACGAAACGCGCGCCCGACCCCTCGAGATCAGGCGACGCTAAAAGTGAGGACCCTCCCACACGAAACGCAGGGAACCAAAGCCCGCAGCCCGAGCGCCAGACCCCGTGGCGGCGAAAACATGCGTTGCTAAAACATGCGTTGACTACTATGTGTTCCTTTTCGTGCGATGGTGTGGCGGCTCCGTGTGATGTGTTGCTGACTCTGTTGCTATTGCTCGGCGACGTGGCGGCGGTGTCATGCGGCAGCCTAAACACAAAAGCCCTACATGGAGATGTGGGAATAGCACTTCAACCTAAATGGCTATCCGAAAAACGGCGCAGCATCAAGCGAACCTGATTTGATATGACTTCATGCCAAGCAGTGAAGTGAGTACAGCTGTTAGAGTTGCATGTTCCACCGTATCGACTCTCTCGACGGTATGATTCTCTTGCCTTTTTTGCGACCCTAGTGCTTGCAGCATCACTTTGCATGCATGAGAACCGACGCGGGCACTGCGACCTTGGAGTGACCAGTATCGGGTCCCTCATACCGCATCTTCAGATTCTCGCCACCACCCACCTCGCACATCTCCACCACCAGGTCGTGATAGCCCTCCGCCAGTGTTATGCTGTGACTAGCCCTCTCCTGTTCAGCATGGCAGCCATTGTTGTCGACGATCCTCTCGCCGTTCAAGTACAAGAAAGAGCCGTCGTCCGAGGCGGTGTAGAACTTGTAACTGCCCTGCGTCCGGGCCGTGAGAAAACCGCTGCACCTGATGCAGAAGTTCTCGGTTTGCCTGACGTGAGGGAAGCTGCCGTGGTGCATGTAGATGTTCGGCAGAACCTCTGTATGAGCCGGGGTCAAAGCTCCGAGGTCCGGGACACCGCACTGAGCTTGGTTGTAGAAGTAGTCGCACTCCAGACCCTCGGCCAAAGGTGGCTTGGGTGCCGTGATTTTGGAATTGTCGGTATCTGGCACGATACGGCAGTCCATAATCGGACGACCGAAAGTGGTCCAATCTGTGCGGGGGCCTCTGTGTCGCCCTCCCCCACTATCCATAATCTCTGCGGTTTTGCCGTTCACAGTGAAGGAGAAGTATTGTCCGTTCACGTCTCCAATCTGGGATGCGCTCCGGTTTAAGAAGCAAGGGAAGTTGCTTAGTTGCCTAGTTCACTCGCGACAAGGGCTCAAGACAATGATGTGGACCGAGCGGCTCGCCACTTGCCAATCTGCACGAAGCCATTTCCGAAGGCGATGCCCGATGGTGCTCCAACCGCTCGTCTAAACAGACTCCAGCCATGATGGACTCCGTGGTGCACGGTACCGTCATCGCCTCAAATCAAGAAAGGTGAGACATGGCGTGCACAGTGCAATACCCAAATACATGTCTGCGTCATGTGCTCCATCGGAACTAGCGCCGTGCCAATCAAGCTACGCCAAAAGATCGGAGCTTTGTTGTTGCGGTGGGAGAGGACGAGATGTCTCCCATCATCCCATTCACCCAAGCGCCACCAGTGGCCGAACTCGATAAAGCGATCCCCGAACTTTATGCTGCTCGTTATTTGGGGCTCACGGTACCAGCTGTGATGGTCCCTTCGGTGAGAGCGGGTAGTACCGTCTGAAAGGCAGATCAGGGGAGTGTGGATGCTGCGGTGCGAGAATGTGAAGTATTCCGAATGTAGTGCCGCGAGCCGCCAGTCGCCAATTTGCAGGAAGCCGTCACCTGCCGAACTCTCTCTCTCTCTCTCTCTCTCACTCTCCCTCTCTCTCGATCTCCCTCTTTCTTTCGCAAGGGTAAAGGGAGGTCTCTCTCTCTCTCTCTCATACCAAGCTTGTGCCAAGGAGGCCCGGTCCCACAAGGTGAGCGTTAAGAGTGGGATCCCCTTGCAAGTGAGGCCTGCTGTCATTCCGGGGCAAGTCCCCAGAACATCCTGGATGCCACCACAATGCCATTGCGCATACCGATCGTTGACCTAGGCAACACAGTCCAGGCAGTCTAGAGTTTGGGTTCGGGGTTATAGACTACTGACTACTCTATACCGTTAGAAACAAGAAGAGAGTGGAAAAAGAGAACACTTTCCACGCGGATCCAGTGACCGGATCGGCGCCGCGATGCTGTGTCCCAGGGTCAGAGCTGAAAATCTGAGGGCTTGTGTTGTGGCCCCGGTGGGTCACGTACACGTGCCCGTCATCTGCCTCAGGGGCTGCGAGGACCGCTGGAGACCGGCCCCGGCTTGGGCTTGGACCACCAAAGGCAAGGAGTAAGAGAGAAAGAGGAAAAGAGAGAGAGAGAGCAAAAATAAAAATATAAAGAGACAGAGAGAGAGGGGAAGAATGAGATAAGGCGATAGGGAGAGCTAAAAGAAGCTTCCTGGTCTGCCGCCCAGCTGCACCGATTCGAAACTCCCCCAGCTGTATGAACCTGTCCCCGAACCTGTTCAACGCAGGCAATGCCGTCTTTGCGAGAAAAGAAATCTACGAACTCAGGACTGCATGACTGGAGGTATCACTTAGGGTCCTCAAGGCTTTTGGGGTTTAGGGTCTTCAGAAAATTCTTCTCAGCACAAACCCAAAAACGTCACTCCCGACGCTGGTCCGGCTTGCAATCTCCATGCATTCCACCAGTTATGCCGTGGCCCACGATGCAGGGAGCCATCATACCTGGGCAGCTGGACAACTCTCCAAGGGTTTGGGGATGGAGAGGAGCAACGAAGCGATCTAAAGAGGGCCCAGATGCCCCCTGAAGACCACAGCTGTGTACCATGATACGTGGGTGATGCTCATGTGCTCTTTGTCCATAGCTGCGATGCGGAAGTTACCGATCTGGATGAAGTTTGCCCCGAAAGTGATGCCGTGAGGAAACCTAATTCTTCATTGAAGAAAGGGAACGTAGAAATCAAATCCCTTCGCAGAACACAAGGGGGAAAAGGGGGAATATCTCGTGGGTTCAGACAAGGAGCCCAATAGGTCGGTCCCAGGAGCCATAGTCGTGAAGGGGGCCCGAAAGGGGAGGGCCATCCTTACTGTAGACTTGGGCCGTGACCCCGTCCTTGTGAGAGATGCTGAAGTGGTTGGCATCTATGGCTGCCAGGCGCCACTTCCCGAGTTGAATAAAGCGATCCCCCCAATGTCCGAACTCTGGATTGCATTTTCCCACGGCCGTCTCGGCGATGTCGGGACAGGTCCAGTCGGACGGCCCTCTGCGGACCATCCCATTACGATTGTGCCAGTGGTCGTGGCCTGGATGCCGAGTCCCGTCGTCGCTTCGGAAAATCTCCAGGCTCTTGCCAGTGGGCGTGAAGTAGAAAGTGAAGTGCCTCGGGTCACTTGCACCGAATCGCATTTTGCCCACCTGTACGAACCTGTCTCCGAAGGTGACGCCTGCCTGAAACCCTTCACTGCGGTCGAAGTTGTCCCACGCACTGCCACGATTCCCATGGTGCACTGAGATGTCGTGGCCCCGCCAAGTTTGGGCGCAAGTCCGGCTGCTGTGACCCACGCTGAAGTGATCATCATCATTGGCACCAATACGGAACTTGCCGATCTGGATGAACTGGAAGCCGAACCTAATGAGTTGTAGCAGGCTCTTCCAAACAGCGCCTTCAATCTACCGCAAACGTATTCAAACCTGAACAGAAAAGTCTGAACTACCTAAAACCTGCACCCCAGCATCCTGAACCTGAACACCCGCGAGGCCATACAACCTTGCCCTAAACCCTGAACCTTGGAAACCCTGACACCCTAAACCCTTCCAACCCTTAAACCCTTCCAACCTCTACCCTAAGTCCATCCAACCTTAAACACTATTAAAGCTTTCAGGCCATCTGAAAAAGAAACCCGAATCTCCAACCCCGTAAAACACGCAGTCCCAGGATCGAGATTCCCTTGCTCGGGCCCACCTGTCTGTCCCAGGCCACCCGGTTGTGATTCCGAGCCCAGGGCCGCCAGAAGGTTCTCCCATCGCTCCGCCACACGATCGGAACCTCGCCTGAGGAGTTGGGGATGTTGGGGCCCCCCCCCCATTCGGTCTCTCTCTGGGGTCTGAGGAAGGAGACTGTTAAGACTGTTAAGACTGCTAAGATCTCATCCAGGTTGGTCCAAGCCACCGTTACTGTGCTGCAGGACCAAGTGTCTGCCATCAATGTCGGCCAATCGCCAGTCGTCCCCAAATTGAATGAATCGATCTCCCATGGGAAGACTCGGGCACGTGCTGTCAGAGACCCTCAGGACCAGAGAATCCCAACACAATACCAACACAACAGCGCACAAAGGACTGGCAAAGAAAATCAGCGAAGATGAGATGAGCCCTCCTTCAGCGTGACAGGCGTGGAAACCAAAAAGGCCTTTAGAATCTTTAGAACGCTAAAAAACGTTCAGACCGTTAAGCTAGACAGCTCCAAGAGTCTTCGTGTCGGTGCTCGTGACTTGTTCTGGTAGCGGAATCTCTTCCCCAGGTGGAGGGCCCCTGCCGGCGTACTTGCACCCAAGCTCTGCTGCGCATTGTGCAGAGTCGAAGCCGGGAGTCTTGTAGACCTCCTTGCAGAAGAGCTTCTCGGGCGGCAGCAGCTGAATCGACGGAAGGCTCGGGATGAGCCCTATGATTGCGGATGCTGCAGCTTGAGCCGCGTCCATGATCGTTTGCGTCACCGCACTGGCACCCGGAATGCACTGGACTGGCCCAGTCATGATTTTCATCATGGCCGCGGCACCAATCATTACGGCCTTCGTGATCTCATCCATGATAAACCGGCTGTTGAGTTGATCTTTGAAGATAGCTGGCAGTGCGAAGCCCGTGATGTCGACGTCGGCATAGAAGTTCAGGGCGGCCGCTCCGCACATCTCCAGTGGTGGCGATGTCATGCTCGAGCTCGAGTTTGAAAACGATCCGGCAGAGGCATGAGCAGACTCCTGGACGAAGAACATGCCATGGCCCGAACTGAAGCTCCTCAGCAGGCCCGAAGAAACACGACATTCGGCGTTTCTCAAGATCTCAAGAAGATGAAATGAACTGAGGGCTGAAAGCTAAAGCAACACAACTCTTCTGGAACAAGCCATGGCTTCAGCGTGCCCTGGGCTTTGGCCTCGGCATGGACCATAGGCCTAAGGTCAGACGAAGATGTCTGGGTTGTCGTGAGCAAGTTCTCAGGCTTAAGGAACTCTAGGGATCTGAAGGATCAGGGGGTTCACACTCGTGGATCGGTCTTGGGTTGAGGGCTCCGGCTTTGGCATAGTTTTCCGAGAGCCTGCCTGAAGGTGACAGGAATACCCGGCACGGGCCATATCGTGAGCACCGGTCCGACACTCCTTACGTGATGCTGAGGCAGTAGGGTTAGGGTAGGGTCTCCTTCGCGTTTTAGGGAGCTACAGAAAGAGTTCACAACAAAAAGGAGGCTACATGCGACATGTTTTTGACAAGCCTGAGGCTTGGAATGTATCAACAGGCCAACAGGGCTCTTGTTCTAAAGGAAATAATCCTCAACATTCCAGTTTTCCATCTGCTGGAGCTCAACCTCACAATTTGCCACAACACTTGCTTGTTTCTACAAGTCTAGACGGGGCTAGTGCTTAATCGCTGCCTCAATGATCCCGATGCTCACCCGTGCGGATGCTGTAGCACTGGCTCCGATCGCAAAACCTTCACTATGTGAGATCGATGGGCTCTTCATATCCACAGAGGCTTCGCCACTCCTCGGATGTATTTAGGGCTTGGGTTTGCGGGCTTCCTTGAAACATAACCCAGATGCCTCCTCTCACCTCTCAACGAGTCCAAAGTTCTTTGTGACACGCACTGTGCCTTCGACTTTGAAGTCCGCTTCGCTACTCACTTCGACCGTTCCCGTGAGTATGCCGTTCAACTTCAGCTCTGCAACCATCTGCAGCATGATTACGATGCAGAATTTGCCGCCACAGATGACCTTCTTCTTGGGAGGATCGGGAAATCCTCGCATGGCCTGCTGGGAACAGCAAGTATGATCTCACCGTTCAGATGTGACAGTAATCGTCATGAAATTGCAAGTTATAATTCACCTCAGCTGTGATGATACGAAAACAAGGATCAGCAAGACAACCATCCGAATCATCGTCATCATCAGCAACACCACAACCAGCATCATCATCACTATCATCGCTATAAGCAGCAATGGAAGCGGCATTTTGCCTCTTTCTTTCCGGTGCCTTGAAGGAGCAGCTGCCTTGTGCCTTGACAAGCGCTTGAACGGATGCGCGCACCATCCCTTTGATGGTGAACTCGGTCGTTCCTGTGCTGTGTCTGCAGACTCTGGGAACATGCATTCGTGGGCTCACATGATAGCGTTGTTACTAAAACAAAGCAAGGTGGCACCAGCACAGTAAACCAATGGTGGCACTGTTTTGGAGCACAGGAAACAAGCAACATGCTCAAACTCTGCCCAATCGCCGCTGCCATAGACCGTCATGGTCACGTCTGGTTTAAACTGGGCAACGGTGTCGAGAGCAACCTTGGATAGCAAAGGATGGCAACACATCTGCAAATGTCAGTTTTCATCAAGCTAACGATGACGACGGCTGAAGATGATTCAAGCCGCTGACTGTACCACACAAACTTAGTTTACTCTTCCATACTGAGGAAAGCGTGCTGTTTACTATGGGTCTGCCCTCCTCTTGCAACCTGAGGCACGTCCAACGCCGACTCACAGGAGCCTTTCATGGTCATGAAAGTTTCCAAGCGAGACCGTGAATAGTGTCTCAGGTTTAGGACTTAGGTGAACAAGAACAAAACAGAATTTGGATCAAAGAACCCATCCGCAAGGTTCAACGTAAAAAAACAATCTAAACATGATCACAAAAGAGAACCAAGCTGCAATGCTTCAAAGGGCAAGGGGTGGGAGGCCAGGAACGCATGCTTCCATTCCTTCCTTCCTTTTTTCCTTCCCTCCTTTCTCCCTCACTTCTTCCTTCTTTTCTTCCTTCATTCCTTTCTCCCTCGCTTCTTCCTTCCTTCCTTCCTTCCTTCCTTCCTTCCTTTCTTCCTTGATTTCTTCCTCCCTCCTTCCCTCCTCCTTCCCTCCTCCTGCCCTCCTCCTTCCCTCCTCCTTCCCTCCTCCTTCCCTCCTCCTTCCCTCCTCCTTCCCTCCTCCTTCCCTCCTCCTTCCCTCCTCCTTCCCTCCTTCCTTCCTTCCTTCCTCCCTGCTTTCTGGGAGTTTAGTAAGCGAGACTGTCCATGGTGAGAAATTTTCAGGCATAGAGAGACTGAGCCCGTGGTTGCCAATACGTTGCTATCTACGGCTCGGAAGCTTGGGTCAGACAGGTCTGCCATCCTCACAATCTCAAAACGCAAGCTCCAACCCTTGTTCCGGAACATGTTTGCAATGCCAAACGTGAATTCAACTCTGACGTTGCCTCCACAGTGCCTTCACCTACCCGGACATTCACAGCAGAAACCTCGTGGTCCAAGCAACCAAACCCGGTAGGCCGATCCGACGCACCGAACCCGAAGCCCTAAGCGTCTTCGACGCCAAACCCCGCAATGCTGAGCCCCTGTTCATGGATTTATCTTCAGTTACCAGGATCGGGATCTATTGACAGCAGTATGGTTTCTTCGTTATTGTAACTGAAGTGAGTTCCTCAAACCCTAAATCCTAAACCGAAACCCTGCAATGGAGAGGCCAGGGCACCCTTAGACCCTGACGTGGTCTTGTCCTTCAATGCCTCGGAGCTTTTCAAGCGTTGGCCTTCCATCCTTGTCAGTCCGAGGGGAACTTGGAGACTTCGGTTTAGGGGACTCAGAGAATTGGGCCCTAAACCTTAAGCCGTTCACGGCTTTGAGGGTTGAGCGGCTTCAGGGAACGAGGGTTTTCTGTTTGTCGGGCTGTGGGAGGCGCCAACGCGTACATCGCAAGGTTCGCGGGGACTTTGGTCGTAGAGGGCATGAAGGCTGAACCACCCCTAAAAAACCAAACCCCACATTTCTGCTTCAAGAAAGCAACAACATCGGAGATGGTCTCCGTTGACCTACGACAAAGCGCGACACGGGAAGTGTGTGCTGCAAAGTCTGTTCTCGAAAGGCCTCGCAACTAATGCAAACCCCAGGTGAATTGGCCCCTCCCTTAGCCGATTATGCTCAGCGAGGCAAAATCAAGATCTGCCCTCCTGTTGCGACACAAAAATGGTGATTAAGCTCAAAGCGGCTGCGACGCGTGAGCAGACAGCTTTAAAAAAAACTTGGTACACTTCTCGATTTGCCGATTTTGCTGGGGATCCTAATTTTCAGGCCTTAAAGGGGGATGATTCATCAAGGTTCTGCAGTCGAGGCTCTTGTAGGCTTGTGCGAACTCATCTCCGGGCAGAATCGCAAAACCTCATGTGTTGTAAACGAAAGTTCAAATTACGGTTGATGCCACCAACTGTGTGTGTCAATGGTCCCTTTGAGCCCGATACCTTCTGAAGTCTTGCCGTTCATGTCATTCTTGGGGACGGCTCGCACCCCGAAACCTTTGGAAAAGTCAGCTGTTTTCTCGAAGACACACCTCACGGAAAACTTATCCGTCGAGACTTCGACATGGCTGCCACCCTCACAGTCGCACTGGTCACCAATCAGCACCGAACACAAAGACAGCGAATCGGAAAGACAGCTGACAAACTTCTTGATCTGCTCCCAGGCTGCAGAGGCCAAGCCTGCGGCCAACGGCCCAAGCTTTTGAATCTCCCCACCGAGTGCCGCAGCCTTGTCCGCGATGAACTTGCCAACCTTGCTGGAAAGCTTTGCCCCTTCCTCCAGGGACCTTGTTGCATGATCCAGTGCCGTCCCTGCAAGATGAACGCTGGTAGCTGCCACCATCTCTCCTACATCGACTGCTGCATTCATGGCACCTACCGCCACGTTGCCGATGCTACTCGCGGCATCCTGGATATCATCGGGTAAGCTTTCGTACGTGGTCTCTGCGACTTCTACAACATGGTTCCCGACAACGATGGCCGCATTGCCAATGGCGCTGCCTATCTTCATGCCTGCTGAAACAACGTCTCCAAAGAACTTCGCTGAGACCACGGCGTCGAGCTCCTCGTCAGCACTTGAGAAATTGGTGCCCACCGAGATCTTCGAGCGAGAGGAGCGGGCCACGAGGGCAGTCTGCACTGCCATCTCGGACCCGTTGAGGTCGTGCTTTGCATGTGAAAGGTACGCAGAATGCACGGCAACCGACGCCGATGAGTTGGTGGTCAACTCCTGCACTACTTTCATAGCTGAAGACAAGGAGAATGTGGTCCAAATCAGGACCCACGATGGCCATCGCCAAAAGAATTGCTTCATTTTGCACATGGAGAAATGCAAACGTTCAACGTTTGCACGACCGATGGAAGACCTGTGCGCTGGAGCCAAGCAAAGGCGTTCGATCAAGTTCCGCGAAACTTCGTTCACGCAAGCTCGGTTAGGTTCAATTCTCAAGATGGGATTTGTGCGAGGCACACTGGGTGCAACAGTGGGGAAAGTCTTCTGTACAAACGAACACCCTATTCATTCAGAAAAAGAACCGATAAAGTGCCAAAGGCTCAGTTTTAACTCAACGAAAGATACAAAACAAACAATTTCATTTGCGCAACCCAACCACATCGCTCGGTTGTGGCAGGCTAGACGATTCCCTGATTTGTTTCGTGGAGGGCTGAACAATTGAAGCCCAAGTGTCGGAAGAATGCCAAATTTGGGGGTGTCAGCTTCTGTTAAGTCCGGATATCCTCACGAAACGCCACCCCTTATCCGACAAGCTCCCCAGCTTGTCAGTTCATGCAGCAACTAGCTTGCAGTTGGTGTTAAGGGTTTCTCAAGCATGTCCCTGCTGATTCCGACATTTTTCTCCGGCTTGGTCGGATTCTGCGGGTGTTGCCCTTGCTTCTTGCAGCTGGATTTATTCCAAAACAGGTTAAGCCATAAGCCATGTGCATCAAGAGGGATTTTCCATTTTGCACAGAGGGCTTGAGAGTGAACATGGTGACTATACACGATCACATGAGTTAGCAAAAAACGGGCGGAACAATGGCTTGCAATTTTCGCTGGCTTAGGGTCGTTTCTCGTCCAAACGGTGATCGTCGGCCTGCGTCGCTTTGGCTACGGCTCTTGGCTTGCAAGGCCACTCAGGATCTTCAGGGTTGTCACTGAGAGGTGGATTCGGAGTTGGGGTTCAGAATTCCGGATTGACGCTGAAAAATGGCCTCTGCAATGCATCACGCAAACCCTCGGACAGAGCATTAGTTTTTTCAGCACGGTCGACCAAGAATGCCTGGAAACCACGAATCATCCAAGTCGCCGGCCTAGCCAGGTGTTTTGCTAACTAGTTGTGATGGGCTAGGGCGAATTTTCAAGGTTTCAGATTCCGGACCAAGAACCCCCAAAACAAAACAACAATGAAACTCTAGGCAAAGCAAGGCCTAATTCCCCGCGATGAACCCAGATTAAGAACTTGTACGAACATGTTGGACAGTTTCAGCTGTATGCCATGAACGATATACGATATAGCCACGACTGGCCGCACCTCTCTTCATGGAGGTTTCTATAGCTCACAAGAAGCCAAGAGCCTTTAATTTTTTTTGAAGCGGACCCCCCTTTACCACATCAGCAGCACAGTGGGCCAGTCTATTGCGACAGAGACAACTACTTTGAGAGTCAAACTGTACAAGCCAGCGAGCGTACAAGAAGTCGTGACTACAAAGAAGCAACCGCTAGCGCAGAAGCCCTTATTGCAAAACTACTTAACGCAAGGCCAGCAAGGTGAGACCAATGCAAACAAGAAACTACCGGCACCAATCACTCAGCTGCCCGTCACCCATAGCAATGCTGCGCCACGTCTGGTACAGACATTAAGCGAAAGTATGGGTAGGCCGTAAGGCAAGGAACCTCCCTCACCTAAACTGCCCAACGCGTCCGAGGGACAGTCCCCACACAAGCGCCTGGGCAGCATAGCACTCAGCACACCCTCTGGCAGCTAGGTTGGCAACTGTGTGAATGCACAGAGAGTTGAGACCAAAGACTTGTTTTAGCAGGATAGCCCTCACAGCACGCGGATGCGTGCTATGAGGGCAGAAACCCCGCTGCGTTGCTCGACCTGCAGGGTCCGTGTTCTGCAAGTGACGCAGTTTAAAGATGCATGTAACTTAACTCCCTGCACAGCAGCCGGTTTTCACTATCAGACCATTAAGGACGAAGGCTGGCGCTGTTGGTTACAAGCGCGCCAGGCAGTTGCGCCGCAAAACGTGTTCCTGTGAAAAGCAGAGCACTCGCACAGTTCTTTTCGCAAGTCGCACTTGAGCCAAACACCGTGGTGTTCAGCTGGACTGTCCAATGTCAGCAGAAAGCTCTCTCCAAGAGTTCAGGTCTCAAGGCTTACAAATTCCGTCAAACTTTGCTAAACAAAGGAGGAAAACAAAAGAAACATGCAAAACCTTTGGGGATTGCTTCAGGACTTCAAGTCTGTCTCAAAACCAACAGCATGCACTCACCATGCCTCAGTCAGGTTCCCAACGCACACGTAACGGTACGAACGACGTGGGCATGCACACGGAGTGAGTAACTGCAAAGGTCTGTCCCTCAGAGCTTCACACGCACTGCTTCAAGGCTTTGCACAGCAAGCTCAGTGCTCTCCAAACTCATCACGGGGAACTGAACCAAACGTCATGCCATGCCAAAACAAGTTCTTGCCATGCCAAAACAAAGCTCTTGCAAAGACATGCCACTGTAGGACAGCTTCTGTACTGCCAACAACTAGGCACACCAAGGAAAGCGTAAACTTTTCTTTCCGAGCGGGCAAAACGGTCGCAGCTCCAAGGCTAGGTGAAAAGGAAAAACTACCAGGACACCGATCTACAGCAGAGATTACCTGCCTACAGAAAGTGTCGCCCCGCCACCCGCAGGTAACGGAGCAAAACTGCTGCACGCGAGTCAAGCTGGACCAGGTGTCAAGTGCCAAAGCGCAGATGCCGAGAGAGCCACGAATTCAACGGGCATGCAGGCAAGTCCCGGCATCCTCCTTCACAGCACTGATGCCAACGCTCAAGAACTCCAAGCTATGGTAGAAGATGCTCCGAAGCTCAAGGACTGCAAGCTGCCAGGCAAGGCCACATTCTCCAAGCTCTCGTTGAATTCATATCCGAAGCTCAAGGACTGCAAGCTGCCAGGCAAAGCCACGTTCTCCAAGCTCTGGCTGGAACACACTTCTACGCTCAAGTAGAGCAAGCTGCCAGGCAAGGCCACATTCTCCAAGCCATAGTAGAAACATGCCCCGAAGCTCAAGGAGCGCAAGCTGCCAGGCAAGGTCCCCCAATCTCCCAGGTCTGTATGAAGCAGTCTCCGAACCTCAAAGACTGCAACCCGCCTGGCAAAACCACATTCTCCAAGCTCTGGTTGAAACACTATCCAACGCTTAAGGAATGCAAGCGGCCAGGCACGGCCACCCAGGAAAGGCCACATTCTCCAAGCTCTGGTTGAAGCAATGCCCGAAGCTCAAGGACTGCAAGCTGCCAGGCAACGCCACTTTCTCCAAGCTCCCGTTAGGCAACGCCACTTTCTCCAAGCTCCCGTTGAATCGTATCCGAAGCCCGAAGCTCAAGGACTGCAAGCTGCCAGTCAAGCCCCATTTTCCTAGCTCTGGTTGAAATCGAATACGAAGCTCAAGGACAGCAAGCTGCCAGGCAAAGCCACATTCTCCAAGCTATGGTAAAAACATGCCCCGAAGCTCAAGGAGTGCAAGCTGCCAGGCAAGGTCAGCTCTGTATGAAGCAGTGTCCGAACCTCAAAGACTGCAACCCGCCTGGCAAAACCACGTTCTCCAAGCTCTGGTTGAAACACTATCCAACGCTCAAGGAATGCAAGCGGCCAGGCACGGCCACATTCTCCAATCTCTGGTTAAAAGCGAATCCGAAGCTCAAGGACTGCAAGCTGCCAGTCAAGGCCCCATTCTCCTAGCGCTGGTTGAAATCGAATACGAAGCTCAAGGACAGCAAGCTACCAGGCAAGGCCACATTCTCCAAGCTCTGCATGAAATGATGTCCGAAACTCAAGGACTGCAAGCTGCCAGGAAAGGCCACATTCTCCAAGCTCTGGTTGAAGCAATGCCCGAAGCTCAAGGACTGCCAGCTGCCAGGCAACGCCACGTTCTCCAAGCTCCCGTTGTATCCGAAGCCCGAAGCTCAAGGACTGCAAGCTGCCAGGCAAAGCCACGTTCTCCAAGCTCTGGCTGGAACACACTTCTAAGCTCAAGGACTGCAAGCTGCCAGGCAAAGCCACATTCTCCAAGCTATGGTACAAACATGCCCCGAAGCTCAAGGAGCGCAAGCTGCCAGGCAAGGTCACAATGAGCTCTGTATGAAGCAGTGTCCGAACCTCAAAGACTGCACCCGCCTGGCAAAACCACATTCTCCAAGCTCTGGTTGAAACACTATCCAACGCTCAGCCATTCTCCAATCTCTGGTTAAAAGCGAATCCGAAGCTCAAGGACTGCAAGCTGCCAGTCAAGGCCCCATTTTCCTAGCTCTGGTTGAAATCGAATACGAAGCTGAAGGACAGCAAGAAGGTTTTCAGTAGTCGGCACCTTTGTCAGAGCATCAGCAGGATTTATCTTCCCTGGGATGTGTTCAAGACTTAGACGCTCTTTGGCTACCAACTGCTGCAAGAATGCTGCCCGGAGCTCGATGTGACGCACCTTACGAAGAAGCGTTCCCATCTGAGCTATGGAAAGGGCGGACTCTGAGTCCCCATACGCGTGCAGCTTATACTGACCTTCTTCAGTCCCTTCAGGCATTCCTTCTACCATGGTCTGCACAAGAAGACTGATATACAAACCTTTACGGGCGACTTCGGTGAGAGCGGCTAGCTCCGCCTCAGCTGAAGATCATGCAATCGTGGTTTGCTTTCGGCTAAACGTCTTAAGGGCGCAGTTATTCCAGGTGACCATTCCTCCACTCACAGAGTTCAGACCCCAACTTGCGTCAACGAAACACGATACCGACTCAACGTCCTGGTCGTCCGTGAGAATCTCTCTCTCTCTGAAGGAGACACCTGGACCTTGTGCGAAAGCCCAGCAATCCAACGAAGCACGTCCCTCACGCACGCCTCCGCGGCGCAGTTTGGGACGCTTGGTGTCTACCAAGAAAACCGCAAACGTACTGAAGATCTGGTCTGGATAGGGCTGCCCAGGCCAATCTGCCCGAGAGTCCGTCTGTACCTCTCGCGGGCCTCGGGGGTAAGAAGAACGCACTGCTCTTCTTTCTTTATCAGATCCGCATACCTCCGTTCCAGGGGCGGAAGCTTAGGAGCAGCCTTGGTGACGCTAT